TAAAGTAGCATTTAATGTGCACTAATCAAGTGGAGCGCGTAACTGAATTCACCATGATAGATTATTGCTCGTAGGCATGGATTCAATATTTCTACATGGCCACGTGGATATGGACGTTGTGTTACGCGCTGGACATGAAATTATTATTGGGAGATAAAAATGGACGTCCTGTGTGCTATCACACCTTAGCCTGGGTACTTCCTGCCATTCTTACCTCGTTCGGGCTGATCATTCTATACATTCCCGATGCAAAGTCAGATTTTAGAAATATCACAAATTATTTCACTCTTAGAGTGCAACAGTAACAAATGCGAAATTGTTTTGCAGTTGCCACAACTTAACGTCATTATCCAGTGCGATATTGCGTATCCTTCCGAATTACTTCGCCACGTATATGCTACTGGCAGTGGTCATGATCGTGAATCCCATTCTGTACGTTGCATCGACTCGTGATCTTGAAACGGTGGTTCTGCACAGCATGGCTCAGATGACTGGCAGAGAGCGAAAGTTGATACAAACGATTAGAATAAAATTTGCTCTCATCAATTTGGTCTACTATGTGTGCTGGACGCCCAATTTAATTAATGGATTACTATTGTGGATCTTATGGTTTCAATTGCCAATCAAGGCAATCATCACTTTATGGTACATAATGGTATGTTCATATAAATATCATCATTTTAAATGCATAGATAAATATAAGTAAATTGAGTCAATTTCTAACCAACAGGCTGTGACAAACCCTCTTCAAGCGTTTTTTAACGCGATCGTTTATCAATCATGGACTCGAAGGGAGAAATTACGTTTTGAATGTTGTCAAAATTTTAAATCGAGCACTAATATAAATTTAAATGCGATCCCCAAAATAGATAGCGACGTGCATGTTTCTGAATCATCTCCATTACTAAATCCACGAACAGGATACGAACAGAAAATACCACATATCAGTATAAATCATGGATCTTCGTCTCTGTGAGAATCTATTTTACTGCCAGTTTATCAAAAGTAAATAGTGCTACATAGAAATTCAATATATTTCCGAGGTTTACAATACCCATATCAGATTACGGATTAAGATTAAGATTTAATTAGAACATTAACAATCAAAAGAAAAAACCAATAAGTAAATTTAATGAACTTTGATTCCAATCTAATCTCAATCTTGATCTGTAATCTGATACGGACATGGGAAAAGTTAAAACATAAAATCAGTTTTTATATATAAATTGTGCATTTTTATTAAAGCACGATTTTTTAATAAGATTTTTTAAAAAACATCTCGACTAAATCAATATTTTATTAAAAAATTTTTCGAAATGTGACAAGAGAAACATTGTATAAAATAGAATTTTTAATATATTACACAGAAATATCGTATTAAAATATAATTTTTTATACATTATACATTCGCGATATAATAAACAAAATAAATGAACATAATTTAGCTAATATTAAGACATAACATCTACAGAAAATCAAGATTTTGAAACAGACCAGAAGAAGATATAAAACGGATGTATGCAAGTTTTTTAAACAGAAGATTCGGCGCACAGATGCATATGTAATGTAAAATGAACTGTTTAATTACTTTTAAAAGATAGAGTGCCTTTTTAAAAGATAGTAAATATTCTTTTTTACAATATGCGTTGTATAATGTCTCATAAATAAAAAGATATAACAAAATAAAAGTAGAGCATGTATATATAATAGGGATTTCATTATTAATAACATTTTGTACTTAAACTTTACGTGTTATACACTCTAAATACTGTCAAAATATATCTTTTCTCTATATCATAATATCACGATCAACGGCGGTCACATGCATTATTATATGTACATATATTTCATTTACCTATTTTAACATTGCATTTTGTTATACACACACACACACACACACACACACACACACACACGTACACGTAACGCGCGCGCACGCACGCACGCACGCACGCACGCACGCACGCACACACACGCACGCATGCACGCACGCACATATATATGTGTATATGTATATAAATTGGCAATGAAAAAAGTACAAAATCTTATATTTTAAGAATTCATCAATATCTGCATAGTCATCTCTCTCAGAAGCGAGAAAAAATAATACGAATAATATTAATAAGAGAGAGTTTCGCGTATAAGATTGAAATTAAAATGAAAAAGTAGATAGAATTACTCTAATGGGATTATTTTAAATATTCTATATAAATTTTGATGCATCTCAATCTGCTATATTATAATCACCCAATATTGTTTCATGAATATAAATTTCATTATTTATATAGATATAAGATAAAATAATCATTTGGATTTCTCGCTTCTGATATCATAATTAACGATGAAGAAATTGCGCATTCGTTAAATTATTGTTTTTTGCTCATCGAGTATTGTATAATAAATTAATAGAATAGGAAGAACTTTTAATAGTTACAAAAAATATTACAGATTATACTGTTTATAAGATCTTTAAATTATTTTATGCAACGAATTGTAAAGATAATTAAATATATGTTATTAATTTTTATGAAGTTATTAATTTTATGAAGTTATTTATATTAATTTTAAATTCAAATTAAATCATTTATTCAAAGCAAATTCAAATCTCTATTTCATTGTTATGCCAAAAAATATAAAATGTAAAATGTAAAAATGTAAAAACTAGAACATATAGAAAGCCATTCCTCCCTACAAATAGTACTTCCTTTTAAATGTATTATAAAAGAATTAGAATTTTTCATTTATCTGTTTGGCACTTTGGCAAAGTCTGCATTATTGTTCCGCTAATGTTCAAAATAAAAAAACAAAGCACTTGACTTATACACACAAACACACAAAATATTTTATACTTAAAGAAAACTTAAGCCTCAGAATCGTCATGTTAAATTTGCACCATCAAGAGGGAAGATTTGAAGCTCCAAGCGTTAAAGACGTGATTTCACGAATGATCATTTCGGCGATTCTCCATGCTAACTCCTCTTTAGCCTGTTAATAGTGATTAATGCATTAATTAAATAATGCAATTATATGTAAATAAATTATCATTATGTCTTTTATTAACAAATCATTCTAACGTTATAAAATGTCAGTATTATAAAATGTTTACCTTATCTTGTTCTATATTTACAAATCGTTTTACAACACGAGTTAGGCGAGATTCTGAAATTGTTTACATAATTGTATACAATCTCGTATATATACATATCAATTCAAACTTATTATAAACGTGACTTACCATATTTTCTATGAGGATCTGGCTCTATTTCAGTAATAAATCTACCTAAGTTGTCAACGTAACCAATGCTCAAACTATAAAATATACCGAATTATTTATAACTTACAAATTATTTATAACTTACGAATGTGTGTACAATATTAAATTCAATCAAATACCTATATTTATTACGTCGCCATAAGGAATCTGGATCGTAAAGTTGCCTAGTGTCAATATTCAGATGACTATTAATAGTTTTCTTATTATCAGGTAATTTGTTGCCATTATTTCCTATTTGAGAAATACTTGGCATACTAGTACACACTGAGCTTACTTCACTGCTGCAATCGGAACCTGCAAATAAATATATTTTTTTCAAAATTATATATAATATATAAATATAT